GTATTTCCAAACTAGTTCGGCAATGCAAATCTCGACTAAAATATGATGGTAAACATAACGAGGTTGTTTTACTCTGGGTGCCAGGTCACTGAGGAGTACCTGATTATGAGACATCTGATCATTTAGCCAGAGTTGTCTCAGACCAGGCACTCCTCGGTCCGCAACCAGTTTTAGCACTCCCACCTTCAGCAATCGAAGCCACCATCAGAAACTGGGTGAATACTTCGCTCAGCAAAGACTCGAGGGGATGCAGGTGGGCAAAACTCATGTTCCCTTCAATCTCATAAGGTCTATCTAGTTGCTTGTACTCACTGAGATGATAGGACTGGCGACAACTTGTTAGACTGCTGAGTGGTCACTTCACGTCGCACAAACACCTGACTGTGATAGGCGTAAATGACAACTACATTTGCCCATCTTGCCTAGAAGAAGATGAGACGGTGGAACACTTTTTGTGCTTCTTGCTTGCATGGTTATTTGTCATCGATTTTTTTAAACTCGTTCTTTTCTCTATTGTCAGTTTCTGAATTAAAAGTTTGTCGAAAAAGCTTAGCCGTTTTGATGTTTTAAGTTTTGTATTTTAAAAATGTGATAAATATTTATCGCCTAACTTTAAAACTCGGAGCGATAAAAATAAAAATGATGCCATTAATACAAATAAACTATTTTACATATACTCCACGTGCAAAGTCATGAGTGAGCCGACATTTGATGAGTTTATGGTGAAGATGATGTAAATAACGCTAGCGCCCGCAGTGCTCTTAAAAAATATAACTCCTCCGAGCGAGAGAGTATTTGGATGTATTTACGAGCTCTATTTTTTAAAACCTACAAGTGTGTAATCACATTATTTTTCTAAATAGACCACAAGAAAATATTTTACTTTTATTTTGGCCGCTCTGAGTTTAGTTTTTGAATTCACCCGCGATGCAAATTTACATTGTAGATCTAATTTTCACATTTCATTTTTTACGAGCTTTGGGAGTATCAGCAGGGGGTCCACCCAAACCAGTAAATTTTGGAAAGGGGTCTTCGAGAAAAAAAAGTTTGGTAACCTTTGGTATAGCAAAGAAGTACATTTGACCGTACTTCGAAGTACGAAGTACAAAGCGAAAAAAGAAGTACTGTACTTCCGAAAGAAGTACGGTTGGTCACATTAGATTAGAAGCGGAACACAATTTTTGTTAGTCGAACCGACTAACGAAGCACGACCAGGGTTAAAATAGTAATTTAGGCCTGGTCCTGATCATATTCCGGCCTGTTTCTTTAAAAACTGAGAATATCTGCGAGCCTTTAAAATTCTGCATCCGAATAGTTTTAGATCTCGACACTTAACAAACTCCTGTTTTCCACGACTCGGCACCAAAATCAAAACTAGTTATGTACGCCACGCGGATTGGGCCTCTCGTGCCGGTCGGGTGGGAAGGAGCGTAAAACTATTAATTAATTAAAAAATTAGAAAAAAAATGTATAAATAATAGAAGATATGTAACAACAACTTCTGTCCTGTGAAATAAAAAATGGGCCGGCGGTCTCCGTAATTATGCTTCCTATTATGATAGGGGCCTATAAAATACGTACTTTTTTATATACTTATGTAGTAGAGGGCTGCATGAATTCATTCAAAATGGCTTACGAATTATTCATATACAAAACGAATGAATGATTTTGGCTTAACACTTTTTTGAATTTGAGTGAATACCTGTTCTAATATATGTATAGACATTACAATATTCAAACAAAGTGAAAATAAATTGAATTGAAATAAATGACAATTTTTTTTATGAATATCCAAAAACATATGTATGTATGTATTGCTGCGCCCCATTACAATACGAACAAATTTGTTTGCAATAAAATTATAGTTTAAAAAACTAAAACCTCCCTATTATAATTGCCATTCGTACTGTCATCAGGTATGTAACTTGAGAATAGAAATCGCTGCATCTTTTAGGCGCATCAATATTACATAGTTACATCCCGAGCTAATAAAAGGTAGGTAAAAAAAAACCTTAATCGAAATGAGTTTGAACGATTTGAATGTTTTCCATTCATTCATTCAGATTCTTCCATTTGAAGGTACTAATTTAAAACAAAATGCATATTCGTAACTTACAAAATTCCAAACGCTGAGTGTTTTGTATGTGAAGTAAAATATTCAAATCTACTGTACTCTGTTTGGCTAGAAGTTTGTATGAATTCATGCAGCCCTCTAATATGTATATAGATATACAAATCCCCCTTCACTTTTTATTACGAAAGTAACAATGTGCTCTCTTTTATATTTTAGATGCCGTTAGACGATATTCCGCCAATAGA